ATGATTATTAAGCACTTGTTCGATTCCATTGTTCTAAAATACATTTTATTCTTTCTTTTTTTTTTTTTAGGAAAATCGCAAATTCAAAAATTTTCCTTATTTTTCAACCAATTTCATCAATCTACTCGTTTGTACTTTTTAAAAAATTAATTATATTTTTTTAAGAATTTATTTGGGAAACATTTGCACTTTTTAAAAAATTTGAGACTATAGTTGCAATTAGTTCTTTATATTTTTTTTATTTAAATATGAGAGTATATTCGTCATTTTACAACTTTTTATTAAGAAATTTGATGAAAATCGATAAGAATGATGGTTTACGCAATCAAATGTGTAATTAAGGGTGAAAATCTCAAAAAATAAAAAATGAAAAGTGGACGTTTTTTTCACAATAATAGTGAAAGGTAGAGACATTATGTGTCAATTATCCTTTTAATAATTTATTTGGGACTTATTTGCACTTTTAAAAATTGGGAATATGGTTGCAATTAGTTTTTTTTTTTTTATTTAAACAGAATGGTATATTAATTATTTCACAACTTTTGATTAAGAAAATTGATGAAAATAAACTTTTGTGCAATGAAAGGTGAAAAATAGGATGTTGTGTGCTAATTCTTTAATCTATATGTTAATGCACTAAAACGTAAAAATTATATGACTCGATAGGAGGACATTTTTTTGGATCAGACAAAGGATTATTCACATTGAATTGAGCCGAGGATTCTTTGTGTTCTTTAACAATTTGTGTGTTCGACTAGATATAGTGACACGACTAGATACCACCTAGAAGAACTAAGTTGGAACAACCACATTTACAAATTCCCTAATTCATCATTTTCATTTATCACAAATAAAGCACAATCAACAACGACATATTATCACATATTCTCAAATTCCCAATATCCCTAATTTTCATAAATCATAAATCTCACCAGTCCACAACCATATCAAATTTTATTTTAGGAGTTTTTTTTTTCTTTTAGGGGTGGCCTTAATTTTCCCAATGCATTTTAGCATCCAAGATTTCATCTTTCATCCCAAAATCCAAGAAAAACCCCTCGTAACTTTGAATCATTCGTTTGTTTAATTGCAAAGCAAACCATCCAAGAAAGGAATTATATGAAACACGCAATGCTCAATTCACACACACAAATCATTGTAATAAGTAAGGTTTATCTACATTGCCAAGTACCAACTACTGACGGGCCATGTAGCCTGACAGAGTAGCAAGGTTCTAATAATAATGGATTTGTTGACCTAACAATGAAATGGATGGAATTGAACTCCCATCAAACACTGTTTTCATTTTCTTCTTCTTCTCCACCAACCCAACATTTTTTAGTCAGATTCATTGTCGCCAAACACCATCATTTCCATTTCAACTACCATGATCACCTTCCTTCTTAACCCTTATTAAGTTTCAGCTCCGGGTTTACGCTTTCCTTCCCTCTTTCCCATGGATGATGCTTCCTTGAAATGTAATTAAATTGTGATTCACAATTCAATTACACACACCATTAAACCGTCCCCGATCCAACAAATTAGGCCAATTATTATTTTTTTCCCAAGAGAAAAGGCCCACAATTTGAAAAAATGGCCTAATCCACTCTCATTCATCTTGCTCATGCTTCCGTCCTCGACTCCTTGATAAATGTTGTTTCTACATTTATTCGGGGATCTAAATGATGATATTTTGTTATTCTTTACACGGATTGATGTCTAATTTATTATTGATTGCTTTTATTTGGAAAGACTCAAGTTTGGAAGAAGAATTGGAAGAAGAATAGAACATGGCTAAAATGAAGCAAATTCAAAGTTTGGGGACTAAAGTGTAAATATTCAAAATTTGTGACGGACCTCACGATGAAGATTCGAGTGTGTTAGGTGTGAATTGGACGAGAAAAGAAGTCAAAATAATGAAATATAGTCAAAGTATTATCAAACATTAATTTTTAGCTGAAAAAGTTATGCTCGGAATTTTCAGTCCTTGATTGCAACCCATTTTTTGCTTAGAAAAACATTTGAATTGGAGAAATGGTACTACTAGAAAAATTGTATCACTTTGAGTTGACGCACTTTAACTCATCTCAATCGGATATTAGTAGAGAAAGTTATGACAAAATTACTGAAAGCGCCTAGGCCCACACTTCCTCCTCTTTTGAGATGCCTGAGGCTACTAAAGGATTCAGGCATGTGCCCTAGTTTGTACTAGGTGTGCGCATCATCATAAAATGGAAAAAAAATATAATTTTCCTTATTTTGTTTTGGTCATAATTCAATGCAATATTTATGGCATCCTTTAAATATCAAAATTCGACCAGGATGTGGGAGATCTCCCTAGACATAAAAATTTATAGATTCAACATGTTTTGGAGGCGAAGAACGAGACTATATCATCAATATCAAGGGAATTGTGCAAGATTCCTGAAGATTATCCATCCAAAATCAAGAATTCATTCAAGATATTTCTTCGATCCGGGTGATATTTTTCTATAAATTCTAGTATAATCTAATTATTAGGATGACTTGCTAGTTTTTTTTCCTTTATATTAGATGAATGATGAATTATATTGTTTGTTTATTTTAATTTAAGACAATTAGTTTAATATTTCTTGATTGGTTTTGCATTCCTATTGAATTATTTGATTGCTTGATCATCAATTGGGTAGTAAGTTGCTTGTTGTAGTATATGAATACTCACAAGAAGTCTAGAACACGGTAAAATCAACACATGGACAATATGTATTAGGAATAATATCTAGGCATATGCAATCATGTGAATCAATGCATGATTTTCATATGAATTCGGATTAGGAATAGAATCGGATCGTGTTAAACATATGTTTAATATATCTTGGAAAAAAAATGTTGAATATAAATATATTATCGATTGTTTTGAATGCATAAATTTACTACATTAACATATTAGATAAATATTTTATTTGCTTTCTTAGTTTAGGATTAGTATAGAAAACATATAAACCATCTCTTTTGATGTTACATGACTTCAAATTTGATAAAAGCTATTGAACTAGATATTAGACCTTATTCCTTGTAGGAACAATAAACTCGAAACTCATTGATTTCTATTACTTGACAACGATCATGTACGCTTGCGGGTTTCAACCGAACACTCCCTGTGTGGCCGCTTCAAGTTTTCCTCCCGATGGCGACTGTAAATTTCGGTGGAGCCAGGACGGACAGTTGCACCTCCTCGTCGGGTGCTAAGTCCGCCACTGATTAAGAACTGATTACCTAGTTCCAAGCCTCCTTTTGAAAATGTCTGATATCATTTGACTTCCCTTTAAAATTTAAAAAAAAAATTAAATAGGACAAGACTTCAAATAATATATTTAAATAATTACCCAAAATAGTCGTGTAAATAATTGAATTCACAGCTTTTCATCAATTCTTTTAAGGGTTATTGGCTCAAAACGTCCCTACCTTTGAAGGGTTGTATGGAAAAGGGTAAATGGCGCAAAACGTCCCTACCTTTGAGGGTTGTTGTGAAAAACGTCCCTACCTTTCGTTTTTTGGTGTAGAACGTCCCTACCTTTCACATTATTTGCGGAGAAGGTCCTTTTCACCTATTTTTCAATTTAAATGACCATTATACCCTCCTATATAAATAAAACAAAAAAGAAAAATAAAGAAAAATAAAGAATAAATTACAATCTTACTCCTAATCTTTTTAAAAATGCAAATTAATCCAAAATTTATAAAAATATTAAAAATAACAAAAAAAAATTTCTCTCTCTCTCTCCTCCTTCGCCTCCTCCACCGGCCGCCGCTGCCGCCACCAAAACCCTAAACCATTCAATCTCTCACTTTTTTATCTCAAATTGAAGGAGTTACTGGCAGACTCCCCACATCATAGTGCACGA